GGGAGGAAGGAGGCACAGATTTTGGAAGAATAAAAGAGATGACAATGGAGTGTGGTGGTGATGACAGTGATGAGGAAGGTGAGGCGTGGGCGTCCCCGTGGGCGGACTTGACACTGGCGGCTCTGCGTCGATCCGTCTCTCTTACCGGAGACGAGTCCGTGAGTCGTGAGTCGTGTGGCTGCGCGGCGGGCGAGTGAGTCGTGGGCGGCGAGTGAGTGTCGAGAGAAGAGGGAAGCGTGGGGGAGGAGGGGGGTGGGGCATTATCCGTTCATGATGTCCTCGATCATGAAGCCCTTCTTCTTGGGCCTTTCGGGCGGGTGCGGCGGGTAGGGCGGGCGCGGGGCGGCGCCCATGGCCCCGCCGCCCATGTGCAGCGGCCCCTGCATGCCCATGACGGCGGGCGGCGCAACGGACGGCCCGGCGCAGCCCAGGACCTGCTCGATGGGCCGCTTGAGGTCGTGGGGCGCCGCCCGGAAGTGCGAGGCGGGCGGCCCCGCGCCCCCGCCGCCCACGACGGGGTAGAAGCCGTGGCCGTGGCTGTAGAGCGACGTGACGTGGGCGTGCGGGCGCGAGGCGGGTCTGGGGGGCGGCACGCCGTGCGGCCCCGACATGCCCGAGTCCCTGCTGCTGTTGCTGCTGTGGGCGGCGTGCGGACCGTGCGCGCCCAGGTCGTGCGTCGCGGTGTGGGCGGTGTGGGCGTGCGTGGTGTGGGCGGGCGGCGAGGCGAGAGAGGCGTGCGCCAGGGAGGCGTGTGCGAGCGAGGCGTGCGCGTGGGCGGGGTGGGCGTGCAGGTCGGCGCCGTGCATGTCCTGTGGGTGCAGGCTGGACACGCGGTGGGCGCCGGGGTCGTCGCCGCCCACGCCGGCCGCGCCCTCGTCGTCGTCCTCGTCCAGCTCCTCCTCGACGTCCTCCTCGTCGTCCGCCTTCTCCGCCTCGTAGAAGGCGTAGGCGTCGTCGGGGCGCCCCGGGTCGATCTCCTCGTCCTCCTCGTCATCGTCCGCCTCGTCCTCCGCCTCGTCGTCGTCGATGTCCGCCGCGCCGTCGCGCCGCTCGCAGAGGGCGAGGGAGGGCGTGGAGGAAGAGCCCGAGGCCGCGAGGTCGTCGTGGGCGGCGCCCTTGGCCTCGTCGGCGTCCTTGTCCGCCGGCAGGTGCCCCCCGATGGAGTGCGTGAGCATGTGGCGCCGGAGGTCGCAGTTCCGCCTGAAGACGGCGCTGCAGGTGGCGCACTTGTACGGCTTGAGGTCCGTGTGCGTGAGCAGGTGCGTCTTCAGGTTACTGCGCTGGTTGAAGCTCCTGCCGCAGGTGGGGCACTTGTGCGGCGACTCCTCCATGTGCAAGATCTTGTGGACGGCGAGGGTGCGGCTCTGGCAGAAGCCCTTGCCGCACTCGCTGCACTTGAACGGCTTCTCCTTGCTGTGGATGTACCTGCGGGCGAGACGGAGCGGTCAGGGCGGGGCGGTCAGGGCGGGGCGGACAGGGCGGGGCGGACAGGGGCGGGAGGGACAGGGGCGGGGCGACGGGGACGGAGGCGGGGGAGGAGCATGGCGGGGGAAATCATGGCGAGGGAAAATAATGGTGAGGGAGAAAATACTGAACATCGTGATGATAAGGATGAAAGTAATAGTAATAAGATATTTACTCAAGAATAGTAATACTAATGATAATCATGCTCGAAAAAATACTATCTAATAATAACAATATCGGAGAAAAAATTAATAACAATATCGATAAACAATAATAACAATATCAATAAAAGAAATAATGGCAACCGACAGAAATAATTACAATCATAACAAAAAGAAATGGAAGAGAAAAGAAACGAGAAAATAACAATAACAAGAGCATTAACAGCCATCGGACCTAACGAGAAAATTCCAGAGAGGCTCCCCCCCCTCCCTCCATTCCCCTTCCCTCTCTTCCTTCTCCCTCTCCCTCTCTTCCTCCTTTTCCCCCCTTCTCTCTTTCTCTCTCTCTCTCTCTCTCTCTTCTCTCTCTCTCTCTCTTCTCTCTATCTCTTCTCTTTCTCTCTTCTCTCTCTCTCTTCTCCTTCTCTCTTCTCCCTCTCTTCCTTCTCCCTCTCCCTTCCCTCCCTCCCCCCTCCCCCTCTCCCTTCCTCTCCCCTCCCTCTCCCCCCCCCCCACCGCCGTAGGCCATGTCCGTCCCCCCTGCCCCCCCCCCCTTCCCGGCGAGACGGAATTTCAAATGCGGGTTTAATAATAACAGCCTTAGAAAAATATATATTTCTTTCTTTTCTTTCGTTCTTTCTTTCTTTCTTTGACACAATAAAAGAAAAATAAACATTTGACGGAACAAAGAGAGGGAGGGAGGAAGAAGGAGAGACGGAGAGAGAGAGATTGAGAGAGAGAGAGAGAGAGAGAGAGAGAGAGAGAGAGAGAGAGAGAGAGAGAGAGAGAGAGAGAGAGAGAGAGAGAGAGAGAGAGAGAGAGAGAGAGAGACAGAGACCCAGATATAGATATAGATATTTGAGTGTGTATGTACA